GTGACAGATCCCTCCTCTCAGAACAGAATCTTGCCTTCCTGAGCTTACACACCGACTATATACAGGAAGCAAACTCATTTGCAAGCCATACCAGAAGCATGAAGGATTGGGCGGTTCACTGTCTTGCCAAATCCCTGAGTAGGTGTAAGTCTAGGTGTGAACAAACACTCTGCAAGGAGAGGAAGTGCCTGGCTTCCTTTAAGCACCTACTGTGTGTCAGTGTTCCCCAGGGCACTTTGTCTTCAGTATCCCTTTGACTTTGCCAGGCACTCTGGAAGCAAGGGCTTAGCTACAGTGTCTTTATAAATAAACTGAAACTTGGAGTAGATAAACCACACAGTCAAGCAAATGGCCAACCCAGGATTGTTCCTGGATCTCCCCCTCTGACCCTGAAAGGTGTGTGTGTGTGTGTGTGTGTATGTGTGTGTGTGTGTGTGTGTTGTGTGTGTGTATGTGTGTGTGTGTTATACTGCACCACACCCTGGGCTCTTGCAGCTTTGACTTTAGTCTGAGGTCTCTGCCTCCATGTTCCCAGAGAGTAGCACTACGGGATAGAGACCTTGCCTTTATCCTCTGCCCTTCCCAGGACTGCCTTGTTCAGGAAGCTTCCAGATCCCCTTGAAGGAACCTCTCCCAGCCCCCATCTGAAGCCTCAACCCTTTAGCTGCTCTTGTCCTCTGGGCTCTTTTGAGAAGAGCCACTCTTGTGAGCTCCAAAGACTAGGGACTCTGGGATTCCTCTGTCAGTCAGCACAGGGCTAGCCAAGGGGACTGCTGGTGTTGCCTACTCAAGGACACAGGAAGAGCCTGTGTGTTTCCTGCCCCTGTAGGAAGTGAGAGGCCTTGGAGAAGGCTGGCATATGCTGACAAGATGGAAAATGTGTTACAGGAACACTTCCAAGGAGGAAACCTGGAAAGTCAACCGAAGAGGAGACTGTCCGTCCAAGTTCAGAGTTAGAACGTGACCGGATGGAAGGCGTCTGCGGGTGAGTTTCTGGGCCTTTACCCTTCAGAGTCTGAAGCAAGAATCATGAAGGCCGACATGGATACACAAATGCAGCTGGGTTGAGGCAGGAGGGGACAAGGGCAAAGGCAAGGACATCCTGTCCTGACACTTCCCAGGACAGGAACGGTGACTTTCCAGATGGAAGTTCAGAAGTTCTTGCCCTGAGCCAGCTGTACCTTGTCTGGGATAAAAATAGTCCTTCCCCTTCCCTTCTCCCATCATTCTTATTCACTACCAACTTCCCCAGGGAAGACACATCCATCCTGGATAAGCCTCGCTCACATATCCATCTGCTTCCCTGGAGACGAGTCTGCCTTTCAGGATACTGCTTACCAAGACTAAGTCAATTCTAATGTGTCCATCTGGATGCTGATTGTGACTCCTTGGTGAGTTTTTGCAACTCAGGTCTGCCACGGGGATCAGAGGATGATTCCTAGGGCCTGCACTCAAGACCGTCCATCTCATCACCTTGTCTATCATAGGGGCAGGAGGAGCCCAGCCAAAGCCATGACTCTCTCACAAGGTCCTGCTCTGCCACTGTCCACTGTCCATCTTGAGGAAGTATGGGTTAAGTGATGCATGGCCACCTTCTGACCTTAGAAACCTTATCCTATGAGGACTAGGAACTGGTCAGGTGACTGCTGGTGGCCTCCTCGGTACTTGACATCATGCCCCAGATCTCCAGGGAGTGTGCTTCTAGTGAGGTGGAGAACTATGACCAACAGAACAGCAGAGGCGAGATCCACCAGCCTAGCCCGCCTCCAGCAAGGCATTTCAGAAAGGCTACAGGACAGCTAGAGAGCCTGAACCTCCACACAGATGCAAGCAAGCCTCTGCTGTCTGGCTCCCACCGTAGCCCCTGACTGTTGCTCCCAACACCCCTTACCTGCCCAGCCTGGGAGCCTTCTGGCCCATTCACATGATGTTCCCGGCCTGGCTTGGCTGCCTGGACCCAGTCTCGGCTCCCCTTGCCTTCGTAGTCACCACCTGTCTCCTCGCGCCCACGTTCCACCCTGACTTCCTGCCTCCTTCTGAGGGCTCCCCAGCCAACCCAGCCCCAGCGACCCAACCACAAGCCTCTAGCACCCCAAGCTTCCTGCCGCCATAGCCCTAGACCCTTCAGCCTCTTGGGGTCTCAGACATCTCTAGGCCAGCCCCTACTCATACTGAGGGTGGCATTTAGAGGGAGAAAGCTGAGTGGAGGGAGATCCATGCAAGATGGCAAGAGTCTATAATCCCAGCACTCTGGAGGTGGGGGGAGTATTGGCTACGCACAGAGTTTCAGGCCAGCCTGAATCACTTAAGTCGCTATCTCAAAAGAACAAAATAATAATAGACCAAGGAGAAAAATTTTTTAATTTTTTATTCATTTTACACACCAACCATAGTTCCCCTCCCTCTCCTCCTTCTGCTCCTCCCACTTATCCCCCCAAGCCACGCCCTATCTACTCACTCCTCAGAAAGGGTACAGCATCCCGTGGGGAGTCAACAAAGCCTGGCACATTAAGTTGAGGCAGGACCAAGACCCTCCACACTGCATCAAGGTTGAGCAAGACATTTTACCATAGAGAATGGGCTCCAAAAAGTCAGCTCATGCACCAGGGATAGATCCTGGTAGCACTATCGCAGACCTCTCAAACAGACCAAGCTACATAACTATGGCCCACATGCAGATGGCCTAGTTAGGTCCCATGCAGACTCCCCAGCTGTCAGTGTAGAGTCTGTGAGCTCCCATGACCTCCAGTCAGCTGTCCAGGATTCCAGGATTTTTTTTCTTTTTAATGTATGGTTTCATTGTGTAATCCTGACTAGCCTGGAACTTGCTATGTAGACCAGACTAGTGTGACCCTGAATTCACAAAGATCCTGCTTGCCTCTGTCTCCCTGGTGCAAAGGAGTGGGTCATTACACCTGGCAAGAAAGGATGCTTGATGGAGCTGCCCTCCTGCCCTCCAAGATACACATGGTAAGAGACCCAAAGGGAGCCTTTGCCCTCAGGAGCAGAGGCCAGCAGCTGTAAGCTCCGCTTACAGCAAAGGAATACGGCACTACAGTCACGCTATGCTAGGACTAGGTGGTGGCCTTTAATTTAGTCTGCCAGCAGAATAAATCTCTGTTCAGAATTGAAGCCTAGACAATAGCTCTGTTAAGTGGTTGGAGACAAGGTTGCATGTATTACAGTGAACAGCAACCACAGTCACTGACAGCATTGACCATGTCATATCTTGGGGCACAGGACAACAGTCATGGGGCAGGCCTCTTACAGTCAAGGAGGAATACAGCCTGTTTTAGGAAGAATACAGGAAAACCCCATGTCCTTAAGACTATAGTGGCAGGCTAGGGTTTGGTGACACACAGCTTTAATCCCAGCATTTGAGAGGCAGAAGCAGACAGATCTCTGTGAGTTCCAGGCCATGCTAATCTGCACAGAAAGTACCTGGACAGCCAGGGTTACATAAAGAAACCCTGTCTTGATATAGATAGATAGATAGATAGATAGATAGATAGATAGATAGATAGATAGATGATTAATTGAAGACTATAGTAGTAACAGGCAGAGGGCAGGACCACATGGCCTAAGATGATAATTCAAGAAGAGGCAAAGCCACACCCTTAATGGAATGCACAGCCTGCCACAGGTAAAGACAGAGGAAGCATGTTGCCCATGCAGCAGGGACAGGCAGCAGACATTCTGGCATCAGCAGGACTTGAAGATCTTCGTAACAAGCAGCAGGCAGGTCAAAAATGAGCATGGTACCCATGGTAGGCAGAGGACCAGGTCACCAGTGATGTGAGGAACCCCAAATGGCCCCTATGAGGCCCAAGAATGGGTCCTGACCTCACTGGAAGGAAAGTGTAAATGTGTCACCTCCTGAGCTACACTGAGTGAGCAAGTGGGGGAGGGGAGCCCACAGAGCATTGTTGGGGTTTGTGAGGTGGAAGTCGAAGCGTTAGGTACCTCGGCTGCAGAGGGAAGGGGGAACAGGAAATGGGGTGTGGGGAGGAAGCCTGAGTTGGAGGAAAGTCAGACAACAAGAGTAACACAGAAACAAAGGCTGAGAGACATGCAGAAAACAAAAACCCTCCCCAGCGACAGAGCTGACAGATGTGTCCCCAGGACCCGGTGCAGGGCTTAGCTACCCTCACTTAGGAACCATAGCATTTCACAGGCTCCAGCTCATGCCTGGGGGCTGGTACTGAGAAGTAAGGGTGCTCTAAGTAAGGCATATCTAGCTGCCTGTGGAGTAAGAATTAGCAGCTTATTTCTATTTAGCTTTGGATTTTTTATTGTTTGTTGTTATTTTGTTTTTGAGACAGAGTTTTTGTGTAGCTCTAGCTGTCCTGGAACTTGCTCTGTAGATCTGGCTGGCCTCAAACTCAGAAATCCTCCTGCACATACCACCACCGCCCTGGCTGGCCTGGAACTCACTCTGTAGATCAGAGTCTCTGTCCCCTGAGTGCTGGGATTAAAGGCATGTTCCTTCATGCTGGCTTGATCTCCCCCTCTTCTAATAGAGATAGGGGAGTTGGTTTTGAACAGAGAACTATCAGATTCTGCATCCTCCTCGCCCTCAGTTTACCTAAATCACCTGCCATGAAAGACAGAAGATTTTAAGTTTAGGGGCTGAAGAGGTAGGCTCTGTAGTCAAGAGCACTTGCTTTTGCACAAGACCTGAGTTCGTTTGCCAGCTTCCACAACAAGCAGCTCACATTAACCTGTAACTCCAGCTCCAGCAAATCCAATACCTCTTCTCTGGACACACACACACACACACACACACACACACACACACACACACACACTTCCGACTTGATAAGGTGGAAAAAGAGAACTGGAGCCGTTGGGGAGCCTGGGTGCCACCCACCCTAGGCAGAGTCTTGTCTTCTGTTGTGGAGTCCTCAGTCCCAGTGACACTGGGTAGACCTGCAGCAACCACCCTCAGGCTCAGTGAGGAACTGCAGAAACTTTGGGGGTGCAGCGCATTGCTTTTTTTTATTATTAAGATATTTGGGGCACCTCTCCCTTCCTTCTTCCCAGATAGTCCCGGAGACACCAAGTGCTCTCAGCATAGGGTGAAGCGCCTGGCACTGATGTTCATGCGTGTGAGCCCCAGATGCCGCAGTGGCGGGGCCAGAGCCAGGCCAGCCCCAGACTCCAGCTCCAGCTCCAGCTCCGCCTCATTCAGCAGCTCCTGGTGCAAGTGACAGGCGTGGTCCACTTTCAGTCGGTGCAGCTGTGCCCGCAACCTCAGCAGTTGCCCTGCCAGCTGCCGGTCCTGAGCACGCATCTCCTGCTGTGACCAAGAGGGGGCAAGAGTGTGCTAGACCAGCCTCGCCAGCCATTGTTCCCTTTCTGGGAACACTTTGCATAGAACAGCTCTCAGAGCCCCTTCTCACCTAACTTCATCCTTCCCCATCTCTCAGATCTTGTTTCCGGATTGGGGATTGATGGTCCTCAAAACAAGCCGAGGACCCATTCGTATGCAAATACAGATATCTGGTACACCATCACAAATCAACTAAGATGTCTCGCTGAGCTGAACTGGACATCCTTATAGATTTGCACAGCTAATGTTTAACTCTCCTCCTAAGAGTCCACTTTTCCTTGACCATCTTTTCTCTCTACACAGTGATTCTCAAACTTGCTAACGCTGCAACCCTTTAATACAGTTCCTCAGGTTGTGGTGCCCCCTCCCAAGCATGAAATTATTTTAATTGTTACGTGAGAACTGTAATTTTGCTAGTGTTATGAATCATAATGTATATATCTGATATGCAGGATATCTGATATGCGACTTTGTGAAAGGGTTATTCGACCCCTCCCCAAGGGGTCGCGACCCACAGGTTGAGAACTGCTGCTCCAGGGTCTATTAAACCAGAGTTGGCTTCATAAATAAAACACACCTGGATTCCTGGCTCCTCGGTCCTAGAGCACAGCAAAGGAGAATTGCTTTGGAGAGTAGTCCGTTCTCACCTCCTCCCAGACCCACAGAAGACTGGCTCAAAGTCTATCCAGCCCAATGGACTCACCAGCTCCCTCCTGAGCCATTCAAGCGCGGAATCCATGGAGTCAAAGCCACAAATGGTTCCAGGTCTCCCCGGCTCAGGTCTGGCGTGGACTCTGCACCAGGCGGGGTTCTGGACCCTGGCGGTCCACTCCAGATAGGAAGGTCTTCGGGTCTGCAATTGAAGCTTGGCTGTCAGTGCCTTCACAGAGTCTAAGCTCTCCTCCTCATCCTCTTCATCCTCGCCCACGGCCTGGAACTTCAGTGGCTCTAGGGACATGGTAGGTCTGTGGCGGTCAATGTGGCAGTGAGGGAAAGGTCACAGGAAAGGTGTAAGAGGCTGAGAGTGAACCGAGTATGCCAGGAGTGTGTGGAGGCGAACGCAGATGGTGGGTAAGGGAGGCTGGGTGTGCCAGGGTAAGTGAGCAGATGGGTGTGTGAGGCTAAGTGTGCAAGGGATGGAATTTTCCTGGCCTGATAACTGGGGGCCACGTGATGCCCATCCGGCTGGGGGCAGGAGAAGCCCTTTGGATGAATTTTATTGTCTTTGCCCAGAATCTGTTCCCGGTTCCCAGAAAGGAAGTTGCAGCAGGATAAGAAAAGCATCATCCGACTTGGCCCTCCTCCCAAGACCCAAGTCAAGGGAGTCAAGAGGGAGAGGGGGCTGACTAGATCCCTGCTCTTCTGCAGGGAATGGGGTCTGGCCTGGGGGGGGGGGCTCAACACTGGTGCTGCCGTGATTGGACTTAGGATAGCTCTCCACTTCTCTGAGCCTCTGTTGGGACAGGTCCATGATTCCAAGCTTTACTCTAAGGAACCTTAGGTTCTGTTGGGAATCACTGAAAACCTTCCAGCAGCTGAAGGAGCAGCCCATAGCTGAAGGGCAGCCCTGTAGAAGAACTTGTAGCCAGCTGCCCCCTTGCCATTCCCAAAGTTTCATTCAATCAATCTCTCCCTCCCTCTCTCCCTCCCTTCCTCCCTCCCTCCCTCCTTCCCTCCGTCTCTCATCTCAAATGTAGCCATAACTGCCCTAGAACTCACTATATAGACCAGGCTAGCCTTCAAATCACAGAACTTTGCCTACCTTTGCCTCCCAAAGGTGTGTGGGTCAGTGCTGCCCGGCTGCCACACACACACACACACACACACACACACACACCTTTTTTGTTTTTGTCTTGAGACAGGGTTTTGTTTGTAGTCTTGGCTGTCCCAGGACTCACTCTGTAGACCAGGCTGGCCCCAAACTCTCAGAGATCCTCCTGTCTCTGCCTCCTGAATGCTAGCTTTAAAGCGTGAGTCACCATGCCTGACACACACACACACACACATGTATCTATATGTATGTATATATTATGTACATATATGTGTGTGTATATTATATTTATATATAATTTGTATATATTATACATATATTAGAGATTGTAATTTTTCTTTTTTAAGCAGGATTTCACCCTAAGCTGACCTGGAAATTTATTCTGTAGCACAAACTGACTTCAGACTCACAGGGATCCTCCTGCCGCTGCCTGGCAACTGCTTCCTTTTCCAGAGCTTGAGCATGCCCTGCTCTCATTTCTGACAACAGAAATGTATTTTGCCACTTTGTATACTTCCTAGCCTCTGTGTGTCAGAGTCACCTGGGGAAAAAGTCATGTGCTACAACAGATGGCCACCCCTTCACCAGTTTCAGATTCAGTATGACAGTAGGGGGTGGAGACTAATCCGAATGTCTATCAAACACCCAGGCTTGAAGCTTTTGCTGGTCTGGTATTTCACAGCCTGTCTTCTTCTGGGTTTTGGTTTCCACAGGTCTCAGTGTGCAGCCAAAGCTGGCCTCATGCTCTGTGAGCCTCCTAAGTGTTGGGCATACAGGTGTGAGCACCAAACCCAGCTGTACTCTGAACTGTTCCACGCCTGGCTGCTTTCAGAGGGAAGCTCCAGCTCTGCATTTATGTTACTGAGCAGCTGAGCCTTCTCCCCGGCCCCCACTCTCTTATTCTCTCCTCTATTTACTCCTCTTCTTTCTTTTTCAGTCCCTTTCTGCTGTCACATCCTATATATGTGTATGAATTTAAACCTAGATCCCACATATGAGAGAAAACATGCAACATTTGTCTCAGTATGTCTTAGCAGAATGATCTCCAGTTGCATCAATTTTCCAGAAAACGCTGCAACTTTATTCTCTTTATAACTAAGTAAAATCCTATTGTGTCTATTTACCACACTTTCCCCATCTGCTTGCCTGCTGATGAAGCTCTAGGATGGTTCTATACCTTGACTAATACAACAATAACATTGCAACAGTAAGCATTATTGTATAAAGTGAGGACGTGACTACTCCAAGTTATGGTTGAGGGGACGATTTTTATTGTGGCTAAGAGGGAGAGTACAGCCAGAGGCATCCGGAAGAGTCCAGAACAGGTAGAGAAAGTAGTGAACTGAACATGGCTGGCAGAATGGACTGGGTGGTGATGGGGGAGGGAGGAGAGAGAGGAGGACCACGAGCCCAGGTGAAAGAGGACCAAGAGGGCAGGTGGTTGAAAGGGCAGGGTTGGACAGGAATGCTGAAGCTGTGAAAGGGAAACCACGAGCTGGAGTGGAGAAATTTAAGGTGGCCCGGTGAGAAAAACTGAGAAGAGCCAGGATGTCAGCATGGACTCTGTAACAGGTTATTTCCATGCCGAGAGCCTGGAGGCCAGCATGTGTTTGGTATGCTAATAGGTAGCACAGTTAACCATTTCTTTTGGACCTGACAAGTATGTGGGGTGGGGGTTGGATGTGCAGGTATCCCCCTCATCTACTGATTTAGAACCCAGGATAGCACAGCCAGGTCACAACAGTGGTTCTATTTTTAGGGTTTTTTGGGGGGTTGTAATTTTTTTACTTTATGTGTATAGGTGTTTTGCCTGAATGTATGTGTATGCACTGTGGGCATCCCTGGTACATAAAAGCCAGAAGAGAATGTTGGATTTCCTGGCACTGGAGTTACATATAGATGGTATGAGCTACCATTTAGGTGTTCAGAATCGAACCCAGCTTTAAAACAAGCATTTGGGAGACAGAGGCAGGTAGATCTCTGAGTTCTGGGCTAGCCTGGTTTGCATAGTGAATTCCAGGACAGCCAGGGCTACACAAAACAAAAAGACAAACAAGAATCCTGAAAGAGCAACAAACAGTCTTAATGGCTGACTCACCTCGCCAGCATCCCATTTTAGCTTTTTGTTTGTTTTATTTTGTTTTTGAGAAAGGGTTTCTCTGGCTTTGGAGGGTGTCCTGAAACTAGCTCTTGTAGATCAGGCTGGTCTCGAACTCACAGAGATTCACCTGCCTCTGCCTCCCTAGTGCTGGGACTAACAGCGTGCAACACCACCACCCAGCCCCATTTTAGCTTTGTAAGGAACCTCCATGATGGTTCCTACGATGGCTGATGGCTGTACCAGCTCACATTTCCACCTGCACTCACCAGTGTCCTCTCTCTCTCTCTCTCTTTCTTCTTTGGAGGTTTTTGTTTTGTTTGTTTTTCAAGACAGGGTTTCTCTGTATAGCTTTGGAGCCTGTCCTGAAACTCACTCTGTAGACCAGGGTGGCCTTGAACTCACAGCGATCCTCTTGCTTCTGCCTCTCAAGTGCTGGGATTAAAGGCGTGTGTCACCACCACCCAGCAATTTATTGATTTTAATTTTATGCATATAAGTGTTTTGCCTATCTGATATGTATGCACACCACATATGTGCAGTGTTGAAGGAGGCCAGAAGAGGACATCAGATCCCCTGGAAATGGAGTTACAGAAGATCATTAGGTAGCCCCACGTGGGTGCTGGGGATCCAACCCAGGTCCTCGGCAAGAGCAAAAACTGCTCTAAACTGCTCAGCTGTCTCTCAGGACCCGATTGTTTTTTTTTTTTTTTTTTCTTTATGATAGCCAGGCAAGAGGGAATCTCAGTGTATTTGCATGTGGTGTGTGTTTGTTAGTATGAGGTGACTCAGGGTCTCTGGCTGACCAATGAGCTACAATGTGACTGGTTCCCCTAGCCCTTTAGTGCTGAGGATCTGAACTCAGGTGGCAATGCTTGGCAGAAGTGATTTTGCTCACTGAGCCACCTCTACCAGGATCTCGATGTATTTTTGCTTGTTTTTCAAAACGGAGTTTCTCTGTGTAGCCCTGGCTGTCCTAGAACTTACTCTGTAGACAAGATCTGCCTGCCTCTGCTGAGATTGAAGGTGTGCACCGCCACCCACCCAGCCTAGATCAATATATTTTTAATTTGTATTTCCCCAATGGTCAAATATGTTGAACACCTCAAATTTATGGGCCACTTGTATTTCTTCCTCTGAGAACTGTATAATCGATTCCTTAGCACATTTATTCATTGGACAATTTTGTGTATTATGTTTTTATCCTTGTTATCTAGACTTAGCATTATCACAAATATATCAGTAAGAAATTAAAAATTATTCAAAGGGAACTGGAGAGATGGATAGTTCACTCAGTGGTTCAGAGCATTTGTTACTTGTGCACAGGACCCAGGCTTGATTCCTAACACCCACCTGGTGGCTCACAACCTCATAACTCCAGTTCCACGGGACCCAATACACCTTTGTGGTCACCAGGCATACACATGTGTTGCCCAGACACACATTCCGGTAAAACACTCATAAACATAAATCTAAAAAAATATTAAAAGTGGGTGCATGGATGAATGGTTGAATGAGTCCTCTAGCAAATTAGTTGAGTTTCCTATTGTAGTTACCAACTGAAGCATACCTCTTGCTAGACTAAAAGCCTGTGAGCAGGGGGTCCTCTAGGACCCCTTAATCAAAAACATTGCTTAATTCATTGTATGGGCAATTATTGAAAAGGATGCAAAGGACTGGAGTTGTTCAGGACCCCACAAAGCCAGAAGGGATTTGTGAAGGTGGCCCACAAGCAGGAGGACTTCCAGATGGGGCAGGGGGTGGGCTCCAGCTACAAAGCTGTTGGCTTTTAAGGTGGACCAAGGGATTTTTCCCGACCCAGGCAAGCTTCAAACGTGTGGGAGAAAGAAGGCAGTTCCCAGCTAACACACCCACACTTTCCAGCCCACCCACTAGGGTAAAGGGGAGCAAATGGTTATTTTTCTTACCTTTTAAGTCATCAAGGGTGCCAGCACCCCAGGACTTAAAAAAAAAAAAAAATCGAGAGCCTCTAGAGGCACAGAGGTAAGAGCTTTACACAAGATTGTCATCACCATTTCACAGATGAAACTCTGATTAATGAACTCTGGAGGGCGGTCCTAAGAAAACCTGAGAACCTGGGCCTAGAAGGAAAAGCCTGTGGAACTGTGATCCTTTCCGGAAAGGCTTTTGTCCGCGTCTCCAGCCGCCCAACCTTCCAGAGTCTGTGGGGCTGGGATCCAGGGTCGCGCTAGCAAAATGGAGTTCTAGGAGGTGATCTGAACACGGCTGAGCCGAGCCAAACTCCGAGCTCCGTAGCACCACCTGCTGCTGTCGCCAGGGCCCCAGTCTGATCTGAATCTGTGACTGTTTTTGTTGCTGGTGTTGATTCATT